CAACTTATTAATAATATGTGTACTGTCATTATACCTTTCCCCCATATTAATTCTCCACATGGCCAACACCCACAATAAGATCTGATTTAATATATTCTGTAATCAGGTTTTCAAAGACCTCAAGGAAATAGTGCTTGTGCTTGCAACCACTTTAACTGTAAACATAGCTGGACACAGAACAGCTGCTGCAGCCAGCTGAGAATGTTGGGAGAGCTATCACAAAGGGTGTCATGGTGACACATGGTTCCCAGTGCACGCTAGAGTAGGTGTTGGAAAGACTTAGTTATGGGGTATTTATCACCTACATTGTAGCCCTAACTTCACAGTCACATGGTTATCACATGTTACATCCTTTCAAGAAACTTTACTAAACACCATGTTGGTATATATACCATATACTACACTTAAGCAGTTTATGAGTAGCTGCAAACACAAGGTTCAGATATCTTTGATGATACACAATGAAATCACAATAATGTGACTTGTCTGTAAGAAAACCTTTGGAACAGGATGGGAATCAAACCAGGTCCCTGGATAACCCCACACAAGTGCCTTAGCCCATGGAAATCACATTATCATGTTATTTCAATTTCATTGTGTATTTGAAGGGAACATTTGGTGAAGAACTCCATTACCTGCACCAGAGTGTATGCCATTATGTGTAAAACTTGGATTGGCTGCCAGCTTGATGCCTCCAGACTTCTAGTGGACATGGGCATCAGGTTGTACAACCTTCAGTGTCTCGTAATTCATGGCTAAAGCATGCATCTGGGGTTACCCAGGATGCAGGTTCAGTGCCCATCCTGCTCCAAAGATTTTCTCATCTTTGAGAATGGTATAGAGAAACAGGTTCTATAAGGGAATGATTGTTATAACTAGGATAGTGGCTTTGGAGAAATACTTAAGTGAACTATAGAACATGTCCAGTAGCACATGAGAAAACCAGTGTTGAATGTAATGTAATGCAATGCCCGTTTCTGATAGGTTCCCCGTAATTCACCAAGCTTAGTTCTGGCTTCACCAAGCTTAGCTCTGGCTTCACCAAGCTGTAGCCTAACACACCAGACCTGAGACTCATATATTATTTACTGAGAGCAAAGAACAGAGTTTTCTGCACTGTATGAGGTGGTAACAGGGGGTAAAGGATCAGAGATAAACTCCAAAATGGGAAAACCCATCAAACAGTACAAGTGCAACAAGTGACAACAAAGTAAAAAAAGGCACCTCAAGGTAAACATTGTTTCTGTATAGATGACATTTTAATTGTGTTGAGCCAAACTTCTACCATATAACATTGCAGGTCACAGTCAGCACACCCCCTCATTCTTGAACTAGCTGTGTAAAACCCCAATGAAAAGAAGGATGGTATTGGGGGCCTACTGAAGGAAATCGACTAATATCAGAAGGACTGCCAGAAATTCCAAGCCTAAATATAAACCATGGCCAAAACAGCAAACAATGCTGAAAAACAAACAAACAATTACACATATCATGCAAAGGTCCCCAAAAATCCAGACCTTGAAACATGGGTTATTGATGTTTCAGAATTCCACTGTACTGGCTCAAAGCTAAAACCAGTGACTGCAGCCAAAACACCTAGCTGAATACACACACCCACCACTGACAAAACCTGCAACACTCCTATCTCTGAGAAGAGGAGAAAAGGGGGTAGTGAACAAGAGTGAGAGTAACTCCTTGAAGAGATACCAAAATGGTAAGTCAGCAGGCATGAAGAGCTGCAAAGAATTCTGCAACTCACAGGAGCAATTTGAACAACCTGGAAACTGGAAACGGCAATTATGGCTGCAATTTCAGACAACACGGCAGAGGATGAGGATGCCCAGAATTGGGGACCAAAACTCCTCTGGAACTGCTTGGGAAAAGATGTCTTGCAACACACAAGACTGGAAAACCCTTCCCTGATAAGTTGTGAGCTCTGTGGTCCATTGCCACTATTGACAAAGACACCAAGACACCTGGAGCAAACAAGAGACTGTTGCAGTCATGCAGTAGGAATAAAAGAAAAATGTGTGATGATGACACAAACATTTGAGTTGTGTAGAAAAGGTTTACATTTATAAACAGTGGGGTAGCCTACAGATAAACGAGTCCAATGACAAGAATAATGGGTTGGCCCCAGCCGGTTCAGTTCAAAACAGCTTAAAAAGCCTGCTGAGGCCATCCAATCCTTGTTGTCATCCGGGGTAGCCAAGTGCTGCAAAAGTTGACATCATAAAGCCTGGCCTGGACAATGGCTGCAGCTCTAGAGTCTGTTGCCCAAGGAGGTAACTTGGCCTAAACCAAAGTCCAGCAAAGACTAATGGTGTGCACACGTGAACCCATCTTCTTAAAAATAACGTCACTTTTCGCTCGTATGAGCACTATGGCCAAAAACAGACGTAATTTGAAATGAAATTGGCTCACGAAAGTGATGTACTGTTCTGTTTTCTGTTTGAGTTCTCCGACTTACTCGGTTAGGTTAGGAGAGGAAATATTCAATTAATGGTTTTCATGAAGTTTTGAAACTTTAGGAGAATTTCCTGCCTTCCTAACCTACCAGAGGACCCTTAACTTGTTGTTTTGGAAAAATAAAATCCAAAATTTATTTTCAATTTTTTTTCATTTTCAAATTACGTACGTTCATTTTCGGCCATACGGACAAACGGCCAAATTCAGACGTAATTCGTAAGAGGACAGGTTGCACATGTATGTGAAGGACCCCCGGGCCCAGCAGACCAAATGACGGATATAACAAATGGTCACTGGGTCCAAAAACACTGACACATCCTGCAGTGTCAAGTATGGAATCAGATGGGGATGCTATAATAACCGGGCCAATTGCACATACAGAGTCCCTAACTTGCAAACAAGATGCATTTCAAAAAGGCACTTATAAGTTGGCTGTTTTTAACTCAGAACAAGATTTCCCATTGATTCAATGCTATGAATTAGGAGGGGGAAGGGGGGGAGGGGGATAGCATTCCTAGACCACCAAAAATTAACATAAATAACACATTGTTTGAGAAAATTATACACAGGACCAAAACTTAGTTTTTTCCTTGAATCATGGCATTATCCAGCTTCTCTGACTATGCTTTTTCAAGAGCGAGGAGGTTTTAACTGGTAAAGGAAGAGGCAGTAGGTGGTGGAGATACAGGATTAACACTTTCGCTCGGGGATGACGCAGCATTGCGTCATCCGTTTACTGGCGGTAATGCCGGGGATGACGCAGCATTGCGTCATCCACTTTAAAAATTCGCCAAAAATCAGGTTTTTATCCGATTTTTTTGGGACTGGTTTTAAAATGCGCGCCGATGTCTTCCCATTTTCTTTGTTGCGCCTAGTGGCCCGCAGGCGGCGCAGCACACGCCGTCGGCCCATTGTTTTCGCTCCACTGTTGTGACCGGTGTCGCCTCCCCTCGCGTCTCAAACGTGTGAACATTTCGGCTATTTTTCGTGGCTATATTTCTTACTGCGGCTTCAGAAACTATCTACGCTTACTCCACGATGGATAGTGATCATGAACAAGGCCCTTCCAGGAAGAAAATTGCGAAAGAAAGGCGTGAAAAACAGAAGCTGAGTAGTGTACAGGAGAAGTACAAGCATGTGAGACTAACTCCCTCTAAGTTTCAGGCTGTATTTGACGATTTGTCTGGGTCATCTAGTGATGAAACTGATGTTGGTATTGATACTGATGCAAGTAGTGAACATTTAGAAACAGAGACGGCCGATGAGGATTTTGATAGTGATGAAAGTGAGGACAGTGAGGAGTCTGAGGTCGAGATTGCCACTCGTGCACGGTGCGGTACTGGAGCTCGTGCTAGAGCCAGACATACCACACGTACCACACGTACCCCAACACCAACAGATTCTGATGATGGATGGTGTAGTGACAATACTGCACCCTTTGTGGACAATTTTACAGGTACACCAGGCTTGACTGTTCCTGTACCTACCACTGTTCTTGGATTCATTCAACTCTTTCTGACACAAAAATTGCTGAAATATATTGCCTATGAAACAAATTTATATGCTTCCCAAAATAAGGCAGGTACTGGGCAAAGTACAAAGCACAGATGGCAACCAGTGGCAGTGAAGGAAATTGCTAGATATATGGGACTGACGATCTTGATGGGTATTTGCCCGTTTCCCGTATTGTACAGGCAATGTTGTTCTTCAACTGGCCCTTATATGCACATATCCATCTGAAGAATTCTATTAGGAACATTTTCATACCTAAATGAGCGCTGTAACACGAAAATTGAGATTACCACCAGGAAATAATACTAAACATATGTGGGCAGGAATTGGGAGTGTAGCAGGAAGGCATCTGAGCACTCACTCATGGCTAACACTTGGCCCGTCTTCAACTCGTCGGCGGTTGGAGCGTGACCAGGTTTTTTATTTTATATGCTAATATTCCTCTAGAGAATTCTATTACGAATCCATTGAGACCAAAATGAAAGACCTAGGACGAAAATTGAGGTGACCAGAGTGAAAATAGTGAAAACATTTTATCGCGTTTGCGCGCTCCCGGGTAACTCGTTCGCACTTTCTCTGCTTGCTGCGGGTAATTAGCCGGGCTTTTGGAGTTTATATGCATTTAGTGCTGTAGAGAATTTTATTGCGAACACAATGATACCAAATTTAATCTCGTAGAACGAAAATTGAGGTGACAAAGTTGAAGAGAGTATACATTTTTCGGAATTGACGCGCCCTTCCGTGACACGCTGGGGCCCATATCGCCCTGTCGAGGGGTGGCGCGGGGGGTGCGCGAAAGTGTTAAATATTAGAGGGGCTGGTTCCAAACCTGCACACAGAAATACCACCACATGAGACCAGAAGGCATGGCAGAATATGCAGAATACTCCCGCTGAAAAGCAGAGGTGCAATAGGTACTCTGAGAGAGAACTCTATCAACATCAGAGGCCCAGACTGTTACACACGCTTTCACTACACATAAGGGGCACAACTGGCCGACCCCTTAGAGTGTTCAAGAGAGAACTTGATAACCATCTCCAAAGGATACCTTATCAACCAGGCCATGATTCATACGTCAGGCTGCAAGCAGCTGTGTCCAACAGCCTGGTTGACCAGTTCAGCAACAAGGAGGCCTGGACAAGGACCAGGCCGTGGGAACGTTGGGCCCCAAAATCACCGCAAGGTAACCGCAAGGTAAAGTATAACTCCAGGTAAACGAAAATTCATGAAATTCAAACAAACCATCACTGCCCTCTTTCTTCCACATCCCCCAACCTCTGGACATGTGTGAGCATTGTTGTTTCTCTTCCAAAAGTGGTTAATTAAGTTATAGCTTCCTTTCTATGGTAATGGGTTACCTCTTCCTTGCACTAGTGCATTACCAACACACTTATTCCTCTAATTAACCGCTATTATTAGAAATTTCCTAGCTAAAAATTTTAGTCTACAGAATGCTCAATGGGGCTATACCGGGAATACTGCTGATTGGAACACTGAGTGTTAGCCACGTGGCATCCTTGGCCATTATATTTTTGTACAGAGGACACAGAGCATCTGAGTAAAGCAGACACCAAATCCTGAGCTTGATTACCCAGCAAGGACTGGATCATGGAATTCATCTATGTGATTCAAGCATTCCTTATTTTTGTTTAATTAATGCTGAGAAGGCTTTCTCCTTACCATTTACTGTCCTGCAAGGGAGGAAAAATCTGATTCACTGGCCGGAAGCAAGGCAACTTGTCAGGAGTCAATACACTGAGGCAGAAGCTTGCAATCCCTCAGGTGGTATAACACTGATATAGAGAAATCCAAATCGGCCCCACAGAAGAAAACGCCCTAACTATGGCCGTAGTAAAATGTAATATTAATGCATGTGCAAGGTGGATGGCATAAACAAAACCAAAGACAGTAAATAGCCCCCTGGCAGAATGTAATGTTCCAGATAAAGGCAAGACAACTTCACTGAAAGTGTAAAGCCAATCATGGGTCCAGCAAAGGTTACAAGAGTTGGACAGGTTACACCTGGCAGAAGAGTGAGGAGGCAGTCTGGCTGTGATCTGGATGTCCATGACTTGGGGCAGTTGGGCATTTTATGGTTAGGGTACTTATCCGGCTGAAATTACCATTGGCCATGTTTACCCAAGGAATGACTATTTTCCCTCAAGCAGCCATTTGTTTTATTGCAACTATACTTTCTAGAAGGTTTTGCAGATGATCTCTGGTCCTTTGTCTTCTAGGGTAAGTAAGATTCAGTCAGATTCATGGGTGTCAGAGGCCTGGTGTGTTGGGCTAAGTCTTGCTGGTACCATAACTAAGCTCAGTGAGATACTAAGGGAGGGCCTCTCCTAGAAAAGAGCTTTTTGAAACTACTGTATAGAGATGTATCATTTCTTTTCAATCTGCTCCGATACCAACTTGGTACAAAGAATCAAATCACTGGCTCATACAATGCCCATGCACACACATAATAAATTTACCATACCCTGCATCCTGCAAAACTTTCCATAGACTTTCAATTTTGTGTTTACAATCTTCTAGCAAGACTAAATAACTGTACATAAATGATCTGTAAATGCATCATATTCATGCCATGAATTTTCTGAAATATTTTTCATGAGCTTAATTTAATTTGAAAATGTTTGTCCCTGTGAACATTGCATAATTTGTTTGTATAATAATGTTATGTAATATAAATTAATAAGTAATAATAATATAGAGGATAAAATGACCAAAGCTACCTTGTTTCATCACCACATGAGATGACAGCTGGTTATTCCAGGTTGGTCAACCTCAAGCCAGGCTTACCAACCCTTCACATTAGTAAAACTAATGGTCACCAATACCTTTATTATTTTCTAATTGAGGTTCACCAAATTTTCATTACTGTATTTTAATAAATAAAGATCACAAGTACAATGCAGATAAGTATACTAAAACTATTTAGGAATGTAACGGTGGAGCAATTTTACATGTAAGTCTACACCTGTACTCTGTTAAGACAGCTTTACTTTTTCAATGAACAAAAAACACTTTTATTTTAGTTTTGAACAGTGTATGCATATTTTGTAACGTATACAAAAATCTTACCATATTACTGTACCATATTTGCTGAGAGAATACTAAAGGAGCACCTCATTTAGCTGGCGAGAAACGGTGACAGTTCTAGGTCTGTGGTCAACTCGGGGAATAGCTCATCAATGACAGCATCGAGCAGAACATATGATAGCTGCAATAATAAATTATTTGGGTATTTATAACAAACTTTTAACCATTCATGTAAAAAAGATATTGGCAAGAATAAACAGTAAATAATACAGTTTCTAATATTTATCTACAGTATAACTTTGGTGCCAACTGCCTAGGAATGCTTCTGTTTTGATACCTGGTTGATACCTGGTTGATGGGGTTCTGGGAGTTCTTCTACTCCCCAAGCCCGGCCCGAGGCCAGGCTTGACTTGTGAGAGTTTGGTCCACTAGGCTGTTGTTGCTTGGAGCGGCCCGCAGGCCCACATACCCACCACAGCCCGGTTGGTCCGGCACTCCTTGGAGGAATAAATCTAGTTTCCTCTTGAAGATGTCCACGGTTGTTCCGGCAATATTTCTTATGCTTGCTTGATAGCAAAGCCTCATGTATGATCAAGGAATTATATCTGCCTTAAGTGTTTAAAACTACTCAAGGACTTGGTTATCCTTTTAACACCAGATAGGGTTTAGACTGGTCTTGGAGGGTCGAACACTTGTCTGACTAATACTCGATGAGTTGCCAGCTCTTTGAGTCCCAAATATTCTAGATAAGTGATGACCACCATTGTTTTGACTATACTGAAGGTGGGTGGGGGGTGCCTTTAATTGTGTACCATTTCATCTTTAATATTTGCTTCACCTGTATGTTCCCTCCCCACACCAGTGCAATACATGTTAGAAGTTTGGTGTAAGAGGCCTTGGCTTTAGGAAGTGCAATATTCTTTGGTTCTCTTTGTGTTGAGTCCAGCCATATAAAATTCCCTTATATGATGCATTAACTGCTGCAGTTCTCACCCTGTATTCTTGTGATCCTATGCTCACTTTAAAATACAAAAGTCCATTTTGTACCATAAGTAGGACAACATCCTCTTCTCCAAAGGCATGAATGTTAAATGATCTTCTTTAGAATAGTAACCATATCTGCTCAGCAGAGCCCTTAACTGTATCACCCCTATCTCCTGTCCCTTGCCAATCTGCTAGTGGTAGCAACCCTAATGGCTGTCTCTCACTCCAACTATGTCCCTCCATACTCCACCCTGGTATGGTAGGGTATAAATGTACTGTACTCCATGTACAGTATATTTATTCACCAGTCTACTTATCATACTCAAAAAATAATTTAATTATCTTCCAAGCCCCTCATTTACCCTTTTTTTCTGCTTAACTAATATTTTCACATATCTTTTACTCTTAATTGCAAACCTTCCTTCTCTCTTCCATTTCAGTTTGTATCAACAAAACCCACTTTCTCAGTGTCATCAACTGCCCTTGCCACTTCTTCAGCCCACTTGATACTTCTCAGTCTTCTAATAGTTAGTGTAACACTATACTGTACACCTGATTAGGATTATTAACTGTATATTCATAGTTTTAGTAACTCCGTCCATGAGTCTGAAGGACAAACCCAGTTAACCAGACACAGCTAATTTTCCCTTTAACTCAATGCACTTATGAACATTTACTGTACTGTATTGTTCCTATGTAAAATAAAAATTAGATTATATTATACATCCCACATGACCAAGACCATCAGGCTTAGGTCCCTTGCTCCAATGACTCTTTTTCTTGTAATTTCTCAATTATTTGCACTCTTCATTCCTACCATGTTAAATATTATTAATAATACATAATGCCTCAGGAATGCATCTTATGACCTAACACTTAATTATACTGTGGGTAAATATTATGAAAGTTTAAAGATATCCTACTTGAAGCTGAAATACAGTATTTCATAATGACCATAAATAGATTAACGTGAAATTATATAAAACCATTTATTATATTGGAACTAATATATACAGTGGAACCTCGAGCGACGAGCGCCTTAATTTACAAGGACTTTGAATAACGAGCGCGCCGATCGCCAACAATTTGTCTCGATTGGCGAGTGCTCGTTTGAATAATGAAAAAACCACATGGTGCGTTCCCGCTGCTTCTCGCACATTCTCGGATGCCTCTGACGATGCAAATAAATATTTTGTTTTGTTTAATTAAAGATGCTGGGATGTAAATAGGTGACTGCTGTGGTGTTGCAAAGCATTGTGTTTTTGTAGAATAAAAAAAAAAAATGAAACAAATTTGAAAAAAGAACAAATGTCAAAAAGGTTCGTTCAGTATTTGTCAGATAGACTGCTCCATTAATAATAAATAAATGAAAAATACAAAACAAACTGAACACATTTGAAATAAAGAAAGATTGTCATAATGGAGCATCCTACCCGACAAACACTGAATGAACTTTTATGACATTTGTCCGTTTTTCAAATTGGTTAAATTTTTTTTTTTAAGAAACATGGAGCAGCCTACCTGACAAACACTGAACGAAACTTTTACTATAAGAAAAAAAAAAAAAAAATTGAACAAATTTGAAACACAGACAAATGTCATAACAGTTTGTTCAGTGTATGTCAGGTAGGATGCTCTATTATTTAAAAAAATGAATATCATATTGATGTTTTTTTCGGAGGTGGAAAGGATTACTTTTATTTCCAATATGTTAAATGGGGAAATCTGTTTTGAAAGACGAGCATTTCACATGACGAACACGGCACCGGAACGGATTAAATTCGTTATTCGAGGTACCACTGTACATACTTTTATAAGAGAATACTGTAAAAGATTAGCAAGATTACTTTAAATACAACCTTATCAAACTAGAAAGAAATTTAACAAAGGAGATAAGGAAAGCAGAAAGAATTATGAAGTACAGATGCCAAGGAAGAAGAAAAAATCCTGCTTCCAGATGTATTAAACAAAGGTTACTGAGAGGACCTTGATATTGAAGGAAAAAAACAGTCAGTTATGGTATATAACAGTCATTTACAAGGTCCTATAACACTGAAGTCTACGTCCTCAGCTCACAATTGAGAGACGCGAGTCCAATCTCCAGGCAGGACTAACAGTTGGGCATGTTTTATTTCACCTTATGGTTCTATTCACCTAGCAGTAAATAGATACTCAGGAGTTAGGCAATTATTGTGGGTTTCATCCTGAGGTAGATTAATATACTGTAGTTGGCTTAGGGTGGAGCTTGTTAAGCATAAGTACAGACATCCTGTCCCTGTCAACAGGGAATTAACAGATAATGAAGAAATAGGTGGTATTTTAAATATGTATTTAAATATCTTTAATGGACAGGAACTTAAATATTTGTGCACAACTGACCAAATTATAGAGTGAATGAAGACAACAAGTAAACTAAAACTGTAGTTACTAGCAAAGAAATTAGTAAACAAAAATAAAAAACTATAGCATAACACATCATTAGGCCCTCGCATTGTATTTTCCAGGGCTTTAATAGTAATGGTGGCAGACCTTAGTCAACCTTCAAGTGTAGTGAAATCAATAGATTAGGGTAAGTGCCGTCGGGTCCCAGTAATAAATTCAGACAAAGATGACAAAATATTACTGGACTTAAAAGTCTACAAATCAAGTGAAAACTGTCAGATGCAATTCCTTGCTGACAAGTGTTGTGTTCTAAGCTACATAGATAAAACACATGTGCCAGATATGGACTAAACAGTAGTCAAGTTGTGAGACCACATTGTGAAAAGTATCACTCATGATCTAAATCCAAGAAGAATCACTGCATTAAATATTCAGAATAATGCCAATAGGAGACTAGCATTCATATTTATAATTGTTAGTATTAAAAGCTTTAACGTTAACCTACAATTTTATTTTGCCCTTATGAAGCCCCATAATGTAGAACAAATGTTAATTCTCGTGAGTATAAACAAAAACCCGGCATTGTATATAATGAAACGCCATTTTCTGGGTGAGTCCCGGAGGTTCTCTGGAGCTATCGGGCTAATATGCGATACATTAGACCAAGGCTTTAGTCAATGGAGCTTGCTCAGCCTACCAGGGATCACAAGCCAGAACCTGGGACCCTCAGAAAAGCACAGGGAGTAATGGCCTTGGAAACCCCTTTCTCCTGTGGTTGGGGGTTTTCCTTATCTGCCATTGACTGGGGTTAGGCACCCAGAAAGGTAGGCATAACAAAATAGACCCCACATGATAAGATAATTACAACCGAAAGCCGAACAAAGAGGCAGAACTCCCTCAATTCCCAAGGAAACAAGCAAACATCACACCACGCAGTCTCGTCGCTCTTCCGTGCAGCTCCACCCCTCCTTCCTGGGAGGGGGAGGGGGAGCCTCGGACCCACCGCGCCGGGTACTCAACACCAGTTCGGAGGCTAAGCATCAAAAGCAAAAACAAAACTGCCGACCGGAGGGAAGAAGGGTTGCCAGGGTGCCTCCAGGGCTCACCCATAAAATGCCGTTTCATTACATTCAACGCTGGTTTTCTGTGGGGAGCCCCTTCGGCTCCCTGGAGCTACATAACCAAAGATTAGGAAAAGAGGGACTTATCCGGGAGGTGGCTGCCACAAGCTCCTGAATTCGAAGGCGAGATAACTGGCTGCAACCACTGGAAGATATAACTGCTGATCCACTGGAAGAGGCGGAGCCACAGAAAATGTCCCGGGTTCGGACACTGAGCAAGCAGCGCCTGAAACCAAGGTCAGGCTGGCCACCAAGGGGCCAAGAGGACTACTCTCCTGTGGGGAAGATTCCAACTGAGACAGAACCCAAAGCAACAGTTGGACTGGGGGAAAGAGGTACAGGTAATCCCACCTCAACCAGTCCTGCCGAAAGGCGTCCATGGAGAAGGACGCAACATAAACTGGGAGACGCCACAACCAAGCCGACGTGAAAAGGTCCACCTCCAGGAGCCCGTATGGCCGGAAGAGTCAACTAAAGGAGGTGGTGTTGACTGTGCATTCTATGAACAGGGGAATAAACCGAATTAGGCCGTCCACCAGGACGGACACACCCCGGATATGAACCATACGAAGAGCCATACCCCCAAAATTCAGTAGACAAGCCACTTGAAGTGACCAGTTCCAAAGAGGCAAGGACCGAAGAGAACCTCCATGGTTCAGGTAATGAACCACTGGAGAACAGTCTGAAATGAAGCTGAACGGTCGAGCCCCGAGCCAAGGCATTGAACCCTGAAAATCCCGAAGAGGACGCCGGCAACACAGCAACTGATGCAAGGCCCCCAGAGGGGAAGTAGGAACAGCAAGGACGAGCAACACGATGGCGTGGTGTGACGTTTGCTTGTTGTCTTGATTCCTTGGGAGTTGAGGGAGTTCTGCCAATCTGTTCGGCTTTCGGTTGTAATTTTCTTATCATGTGGAGCCTGTTTTTTATACCTACCTTTCTGGCTACCTAACCCTGGTCAATGGCAGATAAGGAAAACCACCAACCACAGGTGGGTTTTCCAGGGGAGGGGGGGGGGGCATTGCTCCCTGTGCCTCTCTGAGGGGGCCAGGTTCTGGCTCGTGGTCCCCGGTAGGCTGAACTCCATTGACTAAAGCCCTAGTCTAATGTATTGCATATTAGCCTGATAGCTCCAGGAAGCCGCAGGGGCTCCCCACAGAATAGATTTCAAAATTAATCCTAGGCATTAAGAACCTTTCTAATGAAGAACGATAAGTTTACTTTATTTACACTGCTTTGAAAGGATAAGTGCACAGTGGATAAGAATGAAAACACATGGATGAAAGTGTTTAACAACAGGTGTATAGTGGTTCTAAAATATATCACCCTACTTTAGATTATGAAACAACTGATTCAAAGTGGACAAGTTTAGATAAAAACAAAAACAAAAAATAGATAAGCACTGATTAGCAAAGAGGGTTGCAGATCTGTGAAGAAATAATCTCTTACAACTCTGATACAAATTCACTGCCAAGTTTTTGACATAAGAGGGATTGGATATAAATAGAGCCTGGTTTGCATGAACCAAAAAGCTTTCTGCAGATTCTTTCAATCTTATTTTCCTCAATACAGCAAAATTATTACATTATATCCATCCTTAACCACCAAAGCAAACTGCACAGAATAAATCAAGCATTAAATCTCACCTGTTTATTAAGCACAGGCTGTTGGAAAAGATTTACAAGGGTGTTTGCTCCCTCAGTATACAGATCTTGAGTGAAGAGAAAATGTTGCAGCCAAGATGGTAACAATGTCATCACTTCATGTCGCAGTTCCTTTTCTCTATTTCTGCGATCTGCTTCTGTTCGTTCAGAAGGAGGGTCTACAAAGAGCGCATCTAAAAATGATAGGACAAAGCAGAATACTGGTTACTAACAAAACTTTCATCTCTGATGAAAGAAAGAAAAAATCTCAGTACATTAACTCTTATTACAATATTGATAATTAAAGGCTTTGATAGTGTTCTGACAAAGCGAACTGGATGAAGACACACCTCTAATAAGATGAATGAGCTTGACGATCCGTGGAGGAGCCAGGGCTAATGTCAATTTGCGCCTCAAGAACATGCTGACTGCTGCGTCTAGGGTATTTCTAGCCAATACTCTGAGGCACACAATCCAACGTAAGGCGTTGATTGACAGACCATACACGCGCACCACTGTGATATAAACCAAAGAAGAATCATGATAATGCTGTGCTATTTATGTATAGACAACTGAGCATAATACAGTTTTGGCAATGTAAAATTGTCTCCGTCATTTATTCTGGTATCAAATTACTCGCAATCTAAAGATGCACATTTTAAAACTAGTCCCATAATGATAAAAAAAAAAAGGAGTTTTTAACAAATATTTTAATTATGGATGCAAAATGCGTCACTGCGGGACATCCGTAAAGTTATTTATGGATGCAAAATGCGTCACTGCGGGACATCCGTAGAGTTATTTATGGACGCAATATCCATCACCAATGGCCGAAAGGGTTAACACATGTGAAAGCCCTATATAAGTAAACATTAACCTATTGCATTAAGAAACAATGGCAGTAAGGATTGAAAGTGAGAGAGAGGCCTTTGTGACCTAGAACTTGTGGTTCACGTGCTACCATCTGGTGGCAGGAGGACAATTCGGCTGACTAGCCAATCAATACTGTTGGTTACTAAGACACTTCTTGGCAATTTCAGAATTGTTTGGAGCGCTTGTAAAAGTTTTGTGTAAGTTACGGATACTTTGAGCTTTCTACAGCTTACTTTAGCTGGATGATCTTTTCTGGTGCTAGCTAGTACTGTACTACTGGTTATCCCCTGCAGGGATGTCTGGAAAAATTCCCTCTCATGCTAATAACCTTAATGTTTTCCTGCACGATATTATTTTCACTTGTAAGTTACATGCATGTGAAAATTAGAAAATGTATAAGTACATACTGACTGTATGTCAAATGGTGTGGCTGTTTGTCAATGGCCATATCATGTTGAGAACACCCTTTCTCTTTTGATCAGCGAAGCAATGTTGGGTTTAGTTAGTACTTGGATGGGTGACTGCCTGGGAACACCAAATGTTGCTGGCATTCAAGTTTTAGGGTCTTGGTGGTGCACTTGGGTTCATTCTTGACTTTAATCAGGGATCTCGGGTTTGAAACCCAGGTGCGACAAAAATAGTTGGGGAAGTTTAATTTCACCTCATGCCTCTGTTAACCTAGCAGTAAATAGGTACCTGGGAGTTAGTCAATTGTTGTGGAGTTGTATCCTGGGAAAGGTCAGTAGTTTAACCTTGGGGGGACCTCAATATAAGCCTAATGTATACACACTCATCACAGGCTGCCTGTACCCAACAAAATGAGTTATTATTATAAATATGAGGCAAAGTAATAGTTTAGCAACCTACAGGTGCTAAAATAAATGTTATTTCCAAAGTTCACATTATCTACAGTAAGTTAAACATTGTTTTGGTTTCACATTTTGGTGCATGATAGAGACATGTGAAAAACTAACAAATTGTACAGAGAAGCTCTTGCCAAGTGTTGGTGCCATACATGAGAAATCAGGTTTATGTAGTTTTTTTTATGAAGATACTAGCTGAAAAAGGATAGGATTAACAGCAAATATTCAGGGAACTCTGGTATTAATTGAAATATAATGTTAAATTCTCAATCACTGCAGTTAAGTGCAACAAAAAGAAAAACCTATGAAGAAAACCGACTTGCAATGTGAAGAAAATTTTGCTAGAGAATCCCAAATAATTTCAGAACACTATGGTACTGTTTCATGAGCCTAGATGTAGTATAAGCCTTATGAATTACAATATACAAGCAAACCATTTATATTCACAAACTGCTACCACCTACTCCTGCCTCTTCCTGTATTCTGTTCACACTTAAATCTTTAATTCCTCACACACTTACCATGTCTACTCATCTTCATCATGGCCTTCTTTATTTCTTCCCTCAACTTTACATTTTCTTTCTCATTCTACCATCGTTCATTCAAGATGACCAAACCGACCTTGACACACACTCCTCAATGTTAAATGACTTTTATATTTCACATCTTTCAATTACTTTTTAATTCCTTACTCCATCTGTTCAACACCACAAATGTTTCTCAAATTAACCATTTCATCTTTTCTAATCCTTCATTTGTTATATTCAAGCCACACTAGTGTCTCACATCTGTACATAAACCTTGCACCCACAAATTCCTATTTTTATAAATCACACACTTCGATATTTAAACTGATCCGCCACTTCAAGAACTTCATCATTTATACTAATTTTCTACATAAAGTTTCCCTTCTTTCTCTGCCACCAATTTACTTAATAAGTATACTTAAGTTTAAGTAAACTTTAAAATTGATTTAAGTTAACATTTACTCACAGCAGTCTCCTCTCTCTCTCATCAATAAAACTTGCAACTCATCTACATTAACCTCTATTATTCTCTGCTTAAAGAACTGGATCTTCAGCAGTATTTGTAGTATAACTGAAATAATGTAATAGTTATTGTAAATACTGCAAAACTAAATTGCCTATACAGTAATTAGATATCTCATAACAGCACTGCATACCTAAGTAGAGGATTGTATCAAATACTCCTACAACACTCATAGTGGCTGGAGGTGGTGGCGGTGGCTCGTGAAGAGGTGCCGGCAGACTTTGGGCATTATCTCCAAACAATGAATTTTGGAGAGAATTAACCAGTTTGGAGGTCTCTGAAGTATCTCCATTTGATGCAGCATCATCCCACTCTATTCTGTTAGTGCAAAAAATATAAAAATTATAGCAAGAAACTGTGAAATTGTAAGCATGAAACCCTTGTTCACAATTTTTGTAATAATATTGTTATATACTCATCCCACATCTGACAAAATAGGAAGTGATGATGTTCCGGTCCGTCCTGGACCATTATCAAATACAGCAAAATGACTTGATACTGATCCAGGATGAACTGAAATATTGTCAATTCCTTTATTTTCAGATGTGTGGGTTGGGTGTCTGGTTTTCAGCCACATTACTGTCACTTACTATCTGCACTACTGTTAATAGAACTTACATTTATTGTTGTACAGGTATTGCGTTCATCTAATTTATAAATACCAGTAAAACATTTATCGATATAGTTTTCATCCTTTATAAACAGCATATAAGATTACTGTTATGACTCTTAAAGGTTCCCCCCATCAAATGTTGACTATTTACTGCTTCAACTTTTCATGTAACTACATTGCAGTAGTTTCAGGGGTCAGTGGCCTCACAACTCTGATCAGACCAACTAGTCGTTGGTTTGAGCACCCCACAGTCTATTGTAAGCACCACAGCTTGGAAGACCATATAGCCTTTGGAGGAAGTGTATCAAGTTCCTCCTTCAGCACAAGTACTGTATATGTCTGTTGGTAAATACCCTTATAGTTACAAGAAGGGAGCCGGTACAGGGAGCCGGTCGGCCGAGCGGACAGCACGCTGGACTTGTGATCCTGTGGTCCCAGGTTCGATCCCGGGCGCCGGCGAGAAACAATGGGTAGAGTTTCTTTCACCCTATGCCCTTCTTACCTAGCAGTAAAATAGCTACCTGGGTGTTAGTCAGCTGTCACGGGCTGCTTCCTGGGGGTGGAAGCCTGGTCGAGGACCGGGCCACGGGGACACTAAAAGCCCCGAAATCATCTCAAGATAACCTCAAGAAGAAGGGTGTAGACAAGCCTTGAGCCCTTTATATTTACAATTATATCTGGGTAATTATTGCACCCTAGTTTTCAGTGGGTCTGTTTTGCACACTCCTGCTCTCTCAGTATTTTCAAATACAGTAAAAACAATAATGAATTTATTGTTTGTGTTTCAGATAATATATATAACTTGAGAAATTTCAAGCATTCCTAATAATTTAGGCATCACAGTATATAGAACAGAGATGGCCAGTAAATGATCTCTGCACATTCTCCAGTCAATAATTTTGCCAACTTTAAAGGGTTAATGTAAAATAGCATTCACCCTAGCCAGTATCAGTCTTAAAATGAGTGATTATTTGCTTGACGTTTTTGTTTAATCTGTCCTCCAAAATTATAATACCTACAGCTACTAAGGAGGGAAGGAATGTAGAAAATATAATTCATTGTGAGCCCTGGTGGCTCCCTAATGCTATCGTGCTGAGATGGCTCCCAACAACCAAGTCACATCAGCCACAGAGTTTTGTTTGGCCTACCGGGGACTAATGAGTTAGAACCTGGCATCCTCACAGAGGAACAGACAGTGGGTAACACTGTCATCCCACCAGGAAAGCATCCAGAAAATCAGCAAACCAGTACAGACCACTACTGGGATCAAAGAGACAGAAATCGGTAAATGAACTCCCAAAACAGGGTCAAAACTAGTGCGAACTCATTAGCACCAGCCCTCCACCAGTACGGGTGGAGGGGGGCAGAGCTCCAGGTGTCCCCAAGCCTGTCAAACCAGTTCTGGAACAGATGTGAAAGTGGCACGCACCAACTGACAAACTTTGAAGAGAAGGACTGTGATGTCTAATAGTGCCATAGACACAATGATTAAGAGTTGTACTTTCACTGCCCGAAACGCTTTGCGTAATAGTGGCTTTAGGCATTGTATGTACTAGCTCTATCTATAAATCCATCAACTTTTTGTATCTCACCTTGTATGTATGCACTTTACCTGAATAAATATTTTGTTTTGAGTATTTTCGATCATTTGCTTATATAATTTGGGGAGTTGTTTAGGCGATTCTCAATGGTGCAGTCTTATCTAAATCCAGCAGTAGTTTGTTTTGTTTTGCTAAATTTCTGAGTGCCTTACCCAGTGGGTGGCATAATCGAATAACTTATCACACAAATGCCACTGCTCTCTGTGCTTTTGTGGGGAGCTCAGGTCTCCGGTAGGTCAAAAGAACTCTATGACTGATGGGACCTAGTAGTACGGCTCACTATTAGAGGCAGAAACTTCACGAAACCACCAAGGCTCACACGTTAATTGGCGTTTCATTACATTCAGTGCTGGTTTTTATGTCATACCAAAATGCTTTATTGATTATTATTAATTTATAATTAAATTTGATACAGTAAATAGATACTGTACTAACTTTTTACTCTTGTAAGCAGTGATAGTTGATGAAAGGAAGATGTTGATAAAAGAATCAAGATGTTGTCCTCTCTCTTTCATAAGTTTGCGTGGAACATCACGAATCAAGCGACCAATGGAGACATCAGGCAAATAAGTGTTAGTAAACTCATCTTTGGTTTTCAGAAATAGAAATAATAGTTGAGAACCTTTCAGTGCTGGCTTCTGTAGTAGTTTCTGAAGGAACTCTTCAAATATCTGTAATAACAACATTTTGTAAATGTATTGAAAGTTAAAGCAAAAAACAGCTACTATACCTGTATTATACAGTACTTTAAAATTATTGTAAAATTAATGAACTACACAATAAAATGTTGTACAAAATTTTGTATCAGGGGTTTTGTATTGTATTTAGATGTCAGTAAAATCTCAGACAAACTTACAAGCTGTCATTGTAATCATGGTCTATACCTTCTGTTTTTGAATATTTAAAAATTAACAAAATTGACAAAACAGAAAAAGGTATATCGCCTTGAACGCAAGTGAAAAATTCATTTATCATGTACATATCAAAATTATATACCAGTTGAAAGTAGTCATCTAGTTGGCAGTCAATGTGAGGAAAAGACTAGGATTGTATCCGGAGAGGAGCAGCAGCAGCTATCAACATGGAAAAGTAAGTGTACACATTATCTACAGTAAGTTGAACATTGTTTTGGTTTCATTTTCTTTGGTGCCTGATAAGAGAGTACCCCAAAATAAATAAACAAAAAATAAATAAACTAGCTTGAAACGTGTCACAGTACAGGAGTACCAAATACCACTACCAGGTGACCTGATCCCAGCCCTCAGCCAGCTTCCCTGATCAGTTCTGGAGCTGATGAATAAACCCCACAACAAATCAAAGAACCTGGAGGGAAAAGGAAGGAAATCAGAGAGCCACTGGGGTCGTTGAAGCAAACTAACTACACACAACAAAAATGGAATGTATCAGGAAAGATGAGAGGCAGCAGGCACTAAGACAATGGAGAGAGCTTAGGGTGGGAGACATGGTCCAAAGCCACACACCGAATGGGACAAGGAACACTGACCAAATACCGGGCCGCCAGAACCCTCAATTCTGAATATTAGCCCAGGGTATGTTGGAGTAGATGGCAGCCAAGCTGCGTATTTGAAATAATCTTGGGTCTGAGGTTGTTGTTGTTATAGATTCAGCTACTCGGAACAAGTTTCAAGTAGCACGGGCTATGGTGAGCCCGTAACTTATCTGGCACAGGAGCGGGGCAAGTAGCACGGGCTATGGTGAGCCGTAGTGGACTTACCTGGCCCAGGAGCGGTGCTGTATCTATCTTAGGTCTGAGGGTTGACTGCAGGCTGACTAGACTTAAAAAGACACTGAGGATGACATGAGCAATGTGAGCCTCGGAACAGGGAACCAAGGAGACGAAGTCAACCAACAAGGTTTCTACTGAGACAGAACTAGTGGCAAGCAGGTAGTAGTGAAAAGCTGCTACCAGACACCACAAGTGATGCACCAATCAGCAAAGAACCCCCCTCTCCGAAAGCCTGCCGACTCATTGTTCACTAGAAAAGGAGAAAGCTGCAAGTGAACAAACTGCCCATCAGGGTCAAAGGAACAGAACCCCTGCTTCCAGAGAAGAGCCTGAAGCTCCCCAACCCTACAGCCAGAAGTGTGAGCCAACAAAATGGCAGATTCAAGAAAGATATCATGAGCTGAAGGGAAACCCACAAAGTGAGGCAAGGAGAAAAATGAGAACCTGGTCAAGATACTGTACCAGGATGGCTCACAAGGAGCATGAGCATATTGAAGCTGAAAAACATGTGAGAGAATATGGGAAACGGAGCCATGGAGGTATTAACCCTTAACATGCTCGGGGTCTAATATCCTGCCATCCCCACAGGCGCATGTCATTTAAAAAAAAAAAAAAAAAAAAAAATTATTTTTTTTGCTAATCTGTTAAGTTGTGTTCACTGATCACGGGAAAAATAAAAAATAAAATTCTATTGTACTTACTTTTGTTGCAATAGAGCCGGAAAGCTCAGCGATGACGTCACAATCTGCATGTTCGCTCATGCAGTACACGCCCCAGAGGCGTTGCGCGCGGTCCTCAAACAGAGAGAGTTGCCACAAATATATTTTCGCGCTATTTATTTACAATGTCTAGGCGCATTTTATCCAATTTTTTTCACTAATTGTGTTTCAAATAATGTTTGAACACATTTTGAATCAATAATTGTTGCATATTTGAGTATACACAGGCGCACACATATGTTTTCAATTACAGCAATACAGTATAATATGTCATTACAGTCTATTATATTGTATGTTCTGCTTATATTTTTATATATTTACACACATGCACACGCTATCTGCTTATATGTTTACATATTTACACACTCGCACACACTATACACACTTTGAAGCACACTTAGAAGTTTTGTAGACTGTGGTAGTCATTGAAGCAGTTGACAGCACATAATGGGATACCACACGTTTCACACCATGTTTGCACAAGCTTCCGTTTCTGATCTCTACGTGTTGTTGTTTTACACACCAAGCAATCACGTTGGGCTATTGCACGCTTCCCAGCTGGTGGCAAATACTTGAGTCTGTGTGTTAGGAAGCCTTCAGTGTGAGCGAGGCGTGGAGTACCAGCTGCAACAGTGGGTTTATGATGGGCCGCTGAATCCCTGGGACATCTTTTGCAAACTTTCCTAATAACTGTATTGCAGCAGCAAATACAAAGTCACGGAAAGTGGGCTTACGTCCAGTTCTCACAAGGTACATGTTGAAACAGTTCAGCATGCTCATGTCCACAAGATGGAAGAACACTTTTTTCGTCCACCTACATGTCTTCCGCACACACTCTGCAGTGCCAATCATCATGTCTGATTTATCAATCAACCGCATGTTGATATTATAGTCTAAAACACAGTCTGGCTTATACTGTATAGTGGTGCGTTTGTTTTATGGTTCACTTTCCCACTGTTCACCATTGTTCCATCATGAATTGTTGTCAACAAGTTCACCTCTCTTTTGTCTTTCCACCGAACTGACAGAATGTTATCACTTTTCCTTCTCTGACACTCACCAACTGCAATGTCGTTGTCAAACACAGGCATTTCCCTTCGTTGTGGCTTTACTGTACCAACCAATCCGGTTCTATTTTCTAGCAAGAACCGAGCTAGCAAGGGACTTGTATAGTAATTATCCATGTATAAAATGTGTCCCTTGTTCATCCACGGAGCCATGATGGTCTTCACTACACTCCCCGAGAATCCATGTTCGTCGTTATCGGGAATGTCTACATCACTAGCCAAGTACAGAATCATGTGTAACACGTATTCTGTCTCACAATCACAAAGAACAAAAAATTTCAGGCCAAATCGGTTTCATTTTGAGGGAATGTACTGTTTGAATGGAACACGTCCCTTGAAAAGTACGAGAGATTCATCAACCACCAGCTTCTGTGATGGTACGTAAAAATCTCTGAATTTTCCAATAACATCGTTCATGTAGTGCCTCACTCGCCACAGTCTATCATCAGCTGTTCGGTCCTGAACATTTCCAAAATATAGACACCTGAGGAGTATCTGAAACCTGTCTCGTGACATATATTTCCCGAATAAAGGTGTTGGTATTGTATGGTCCTTGCTCCAATAGTCACTTATTGCATGTTTGTGACAGTGCTTCATCAACAAACAGAGTGCCAAAAACACGTACATTTCCACAACTGTGGTATTTTTCCAACGCTGCAGTCGTGAAGATTCTGTGATTTCCCTCTCAATCAGGTAAGCAGCATGCAGGTTCGTTTGGTGTACAATGTATTCCATGAGTGGTTCATCATAGAATGCTGTAAAATATTCCATCTCAGCCATGTCCTCACCTTGATTAGGGAAAAGGTTCGTAATCCCTACATCTTTATCGTCAAAGTGAGGAATATTAGGAATAAAATCGTCACCATCACTCCACTCAAGAACACCAGGCGTCCTGCAAGATGCAGAGGAAAGACGGCGAGGAAGCGATGCATACCTTCGACCAGGAACTGAATACCGTCTGCGAGAAGCACAGCGGCTACGTGCACGTGAGGTGGGTGCACGTGAGGTGGATGCACGTGAGGTGGATGCACGTGAGGTGGATGCACGTGAGGTGGATGCACGTGAGGTGGATGCACGTGAGGTGGGGGCACGTGAGGTGGATGCACGTGAACACGAGGGTCTTGGTCCCTCATGTGGTGCCATGCGGTGGCGCTTGGCTGGGCGAGATGCTGCTGACGCGACAATTTCTCGCCCAGTTACACCACTGGTACCAGCCACAGGCTCAATAAAACTATGATCTGAGTCACTAAACCCAGAAAAGGAGTCACCTCCCTCTGACTCGTCACCCCCAAACAGAAAATATCCACAGGAACTGTGAGGTCGTGGTAGAATTGGGGTAGAAACTGGCCGAGGAGGCATGGGTGAGCGTAGAGGCCTCGCCATGGCATGGCGAGCATTGTCACTCTCACTGCTGCTGCTACTATCACCCGACAACTGTGTATAATCCTCATCGTTGTCTGAATCACCAAACACACTTTCTTCACCTTCAGAGAATAATTCGTGGGCTATTTGCTCTGGGGTGAGGGATTGAGTGGTGCGTGCCCGTGAGGCGTTTGACCGTGCGCTCACCATGGTGACTCTCGCTAAACTGAGGCCTCCCACGCCTTCGGTTCGTGAGCGGGAATTTTTTTCAAAATGGCCGCTGTTTACTATAGCCCCTGGGCAGCGTATGAGAACCCCAGCTACACTGCGGGACATTCAAATCGTGCGCGGTACCCATACACGTCATATGACGTGAAGCGCAGTTGACTGGTACAACGCCTAGGACGTCATATGACGTGATGCGCACTTTAACCCTTAAAGTGCGCATCACGTCATATGACGTGCTGGACGTTGTTCCAGTAAACTGCGCATCACGTCATATGATGTGTTGGAGTACTACGCAAGATTTAAACAGCCCGCGGATACACGGGGTTCACCACACCTTCATCAGGGCTCTTGTAAACAGACGCCATTTTTAAAAAAAATCGTGGGCCAAACTCCCGGGTGTTATTGGCCTCAGTATTGAGTGAGCAACCAAGCCTGATGCACGCAGCATGAGCTAACAGCACTGCTGTTCAGCTTGTGACCACAGCATCGCCTAAAAATGCCAAATTATACTTGTTCATGCTATTATGTAGCGATGATATTATTACAGAAGACCCCTGACTGTGATAAAACTGACCAGGGTTCTGATAATAGCAGGATTGTGGTGATATTTAGCGCTGTGCGCCATGGAAGGAGGTGTAATGCTGTGGGAGGGAGAGTGGTGGCGATGTCTTTTGACTGTGTGTGGCCACCTTTTATTGACTGCACTCACCTTACCAGCTTAGTGGTTCGCTATGGTGAACACAAATGTAGATACTTATATATAACGTGCGTATAGAGGGTATAAACAGCAAGAGAAGGTTTGGAGCCGCCATTTTGGTGAGGGCGGTAGCGTCGTCTGCACGACGCCACCGTGCAGACGACGGTGTTGTTTACTGGTTACCACGATGGTCTTTGGGCACCATACCAGTTTATTTGTACAAGTATGATGAATAAAACAAGTAGATATTTATATATAATGTGTGTATATAGCGTAATAACACCACACAGTATTGTTGGAGGAGAAATATTAGTGCGTCTGGCCTTGAGGGCGGCTGCCGATCAGCTGACTGTGTGAGTAGCTACATCTCTGTGCCTTTACTCACCATACAAGCTTAGATGTACAGTTATGGTGAACAAAACATGTAGATACTTATATATAACGTCTGTATATAAGATATATAGCGTAATAACACCACACAGTATTGTTGGAGGAGAAATATTAATGCGTCTGACCTTGAGGGCGGCCGCAGATCAGCTGACTGTGTGAGTAGCCACATCTCTGTGCCTTTACTCACCATACAAGCTTAGATGTACAGTTATGGTGAACAAAACATGTAGATACTTATATATAACGTCTGTATATAGTGAATTAGAGCAAAAACATTATTGTGGGAGGAGAATGAGGGTGAGTCAGATGACTGGAGGGAGGGCGGGAGTGGCTGGCTGGTACACTGCGGTCACGCCTCATTACTTTTTGACTCATAATAGCTACTTAGTGGTTCGTTATAGTGAACAAAACATGCAAATACTTATATATAACCTGTGCTTATAGTGTAATAACCGACAAAGTATTTGTTCACTGATTGATGAACATAATTGAATCAACAATATGCACACCATATTTTTGAGTACACCAACGATTCACTCATTTTATTATATAAATATATCAAACTACACACTATTGAATAATATTACAGCAAAAAAAGTATGAAAAATCAATCAGAGACATTGAAATAATTCGGTAATTATCTCTTTGTGGCAACTCTGGCCTGACAGCTTGCGAGCAACAGACCGCCTGGGACGCACGCTGAGTCAGCGCCTATAATTTGCCAGACTTCCCAGCCCTATAGCGGGCAATATATGCCACTTACGATTTTTTTATTATTTTTCCCGTGATCAGTGAATACAAATTAACAGGTTAGAAAGAAAAAATAATTTTTTTTTTTCAAAATGACATGCGCCTGTGGGGATGGCAGAATATTAAACCCTGAGCATGTTAAGGGTTAAGGGTTAACACTGAATGTAACCAACAGCGGTTCCACAGACGCCAAACAATAAGAGGTGACAGTATCAGGCATGAGATACCAATCGATTAAAAACCATGACAAAATGGACAAGAAAGACCTGACTAAAATTGAGGAAAGATGCAAATGGGATATCAACAAACCAGCCACCCACTTGCCGTACAAATGGGATAGACATGCGTCAAAAACTCCAGCCACAACGAGCAGAGGAGAAGTTCGAACCAGCGAAGTACACCACTGGACTAATCTGCTGGAAGAGGCAGTGCTGCAGAAAGACTCCAGGGTTTGGACACTGGGCCGGCCCCCCAAGGAGCCAGATAGCTCACCCCAGAGCAAGTACAATTCGAGACTGTATGGCACTGTCATAGTAATTGCAAAGCTGGAATCATGGATAGATAATGTATAGCATTGCTAATAACCCATACTGCTCCTCCAAGCACCAGCTGGCTTGCCATTGGCTTCAGAAATATAAGTAACCAGAAAATGAGTCAACTACAGTGTCTCATATACACCACTATAACATAGCAGTAACTACTTCTCACATGGAAAAGCACTCCCGACCTTCTTGTCAGACCCACCAATTCCCCGTACAGTCAACAAAGGGGGTATTTGGAGGGAGTCCCCTGCATCACACAGAGACTGCCATTGCTCAAATACTGTACAGGTGCCAGTCTAACTTGCAGGGATTCTATCCAGTACAGTATTTTAACGAACTGGTCTCAACATTTTGGGATGGATTAATTTATTCTCTGGTGATTCCTAGCACACAAATGCTAGGAATCATTTGTAAATTGTGCACAATGTAAAAAGTTGCCAGTGGTGCTCTGCAGTGCCATCTTGCCTGACTGCATGCTCCTGTCCAAAGGACACAACAAATCTTATCATAGGAAGCAACTGAATGAGACAGCTGAAGATTACACATAAAAAACAAAGAATTTACTGAGGCTAGTGCAAACTTTGAATGTGTGGAATGTAATAAGTAAAGCTTACCTGCCGACGTGTCTGCATAAAACCAATATCCTTAGCTGTGAAGAGTGATCGACGTGGGGGCAACTGATTGTCTTGAAACTCCCCATGAAATTCTGTTAGTTTATTTTCAAGTATGTAAAACTCATTATACCTTCTCTCCACTTCCCAGTGCAATTCCTCTGGCAGCTCCGCTTTATAAATAATTAAAAATATTCCAGAAATGATTATTATAATTTATGATAGTGCAGTACTGTACAGTATATTCAATTTATAACAAAAATAATTCATAATCTTATAATTTATTAGTGACAGTATATTCAATTTAGTAACAATGATAATTCATAATATGTACTCATATAAATTGTTCACCTCTGTAACGCTGTATTAAAATTTACTATAAAATGTAATTTAGTGTACCTCCAGTCACATCAATTCTGGTAACCTCCACTATAAATGCATAATAAGGTTTGGCGGCATGGTCCAGGTGCTGCTCCACACGAGGGACGCTCACTCTCCATGCACTCAGGTCACGAAAACTTGACGTGAGTCCCTCTAGACTACTGACTGACTGCGACATTCCACTAACTTCATCAGCCTGCCGTAACAATCCTTTACTTAGTATGATGCATTACAGTATGTCTCTAATATTCATTTAATATACTGAATTAATTTTACTAAAATGTATATCAAAACTAAGCAATTAAATTTTACTACATTTTACAATGATAAACAGATACTGATAAATTTATATAACTTTTTCAAGAAGTACTGAAATAAAAATATGAGGATTAAGCAAAAGCTGTTTTTAAACAGCAGCCCCACACATTAAAACAAGAAGCTACAATGAAGCAGTTTAGATTAGCAACAACAAACCACAACACAATACTTTTATATTATCTATAATATACCATACCTTTATGCAAGAGCATTTCTGCGAAAATATGGTTTACTAAAAAACCAGCGTTGAATGTAATGAAACGCCATTTTCTGGGCGAGACCCGGAGGCTTTCCGGAGCTATACTGGGCTGATGTGTATATACTAGACCGTGGCAACAATCAATCGATGGAGTTCTAGGCCTACCGGGGACCATGAGCCAGAACCTGGCCCCTTCAGAGAGGCACGAGGAGCAATGGCAAATACACACACCCCATGTGGTTGAAAGCAGTCTATGTCTGCCATCTACCAGGTCAGGCACCCAGAAATGTAGGAATCCCAAAACAAACTACAGCTGGTGACACATTGCAAACCAAAAACCGAACGAGCAAGCAGAACTCCCCAATCAGAAAATAAGAAAACAAGCATGACGTCACCACAGCCGACGCGCCGCTGTCTGTGCAGCTCCCCCCCTCCCTGGGAGGGGGAAGGGGGGTCACAAACCTCCCAAGCCAGCTACCCAACCCCAGTTCAGAGGCTGAATATAAAAAATGCGAATAACTGCCGACCGGTGGGAAGGAGGGTTGCCGGGAAGCCTCCGGGTCTCGCCCAAAAAATGGCATTCCATTACATTCAACGCTGGTTTTCTGTGGAGAGTCCCTCCAGCTCTCCGGAGCTACCTAACCAAAGATAAAGGAAAAGAGGGACTTACCCGGGAGGTGGCCGTCACTCGAAGTTGAGACAACTGGCTGCAACCTGCGCCCCCAAGGCTACACATGCCCGAGAAGGGCCCAGAACATTAACGAGGTACTGTGCAGCCAGGACCCTGTTCGACCTCCAAAAGCCCCATGCCCGAATAACCCTCATATTACCCCAGGACATATTACCAAAAACAACAGCCAAAGCCACGAACTTATGAATGTCATGGGCACTGGGATAGACCACAGGCTGGCTGGACCGAATAATTCTCCGGATGACCAGGGAGACCCGCACCCGGGATCAGGGAAGAAAGGAAACCAGGTCAACCCAAAGCACGTCACCTGCCACAGAAGCCGTGGTGCGCAAGTATCGGTGAAGAGCCGCAACTGGACACAAAACATGATGCACCGCCGGCCAAACCAATCAAACATCAGCAACCCAAGGAAACCCCTCCCCCCCCAGAAAGCAGCAGTCTCATTCTTCGCCAGAAAAGAAGGAAACGGCTGCAAAAGAACAAAATGACCACCAGGACCATAAGAACAGAAACCCCTGTGCTGGAGGAGAGCATGAAGCTCCCCGACCTAACCCCCAGAGGCCAATGCCAACAAGAAGAGCGCCTTAGAAAAACAGTCCTGAACCAAAGGGGCCACCACAAACCGAGGAGAACAGAGCACCTGGTCCAACGACCAGGATGGCTCAGGTGGCACACAAGCAGGCCGGAGAAGAAACAACACCCTAGAAAGCTTGTGGAATGGAGCATAAGTGACATCTACCCCGAACAGAAGCTGAAGCGGCTCTGCCAACGCCGCACGATATGAGGCAACAGTTTTCGGCATAAGATGATGGTCCTGAAACAACTAAGAGAGAAAGGACAAAAGAACCCGATAAAAAATTGAAGACAACCTACGAAGAGTTAAGAAGTGCCGAAAGAACCACCAGCAACCTCCATATTGTCGCTGAGATTAACGATGCGCATTAACGAAGCCACCTGATCACCATACAAGTGGTGATAAACCCATGACCACCACCCAACACAACAGCCTCAAAACTGGAGTTGGGTAGCTGGTGCAGGAGGTCTTGGACCCCTCCCTTCACCCTCCCGGGAAGGGGAAGTTGTGCAGACAGCAGCACAGCAGCTGTGGTAACGTCATGCTTGTTTGTTTGTTTTCTGATTCGGGAGTTCTGCTTGCTCATTCAGTTTTTGGTTTGCAATGTTTAATCCGCTGTAGTTTGGGGATTCCTACCTTTCTGGGTGCCTGACCTGGTAGATGGCAGACATAGACTGTTTCCAACCACATGGGGGGGGGGGTGGTGTCCTATAGGCCATTGCTCCTCGTGCCTCTCTGAAGGGGGCTAAGGTTCTGACTCATTGTCCCCGATAGGCCTAGAACTCAATCGATTGACTGTTGCTACGGTTTAATATATACACATCAGCCCAGTATAGCACCAGGGAGCTAGAGGGGCTCTCCACAGAAAAGAAAAAATGCAGCCGACTCATTAGAAATTAAAACTTACCATTAGCAGGGATATATCATCAGCTTGATCAATATCATAGAGCGCATGGTCGTCTTCACCCCCGATGACAACAGATGGCTTGAGAACCATCTGTTTCCCAATATGTTTCAGGCCACTACCCACCTTCTTCACCACTACTTTACCTACGTTCTTCCTGGGATGGGGATCAATCTCCCTAAAAGGGGGTGCAAATTTGATTTACTACTTCATGTAAAAATTAACTAACGTTTTTAAAAGGATTTGGTCATTTCTTCCACCACAGTTTGGATGACACACATTCAGATGATAAATCTGACTGTGTGTCATTCAGCTCCCATTTCTCTATGATAAATAGTTCTAAAAAGATTGAAAATTTGTATGAAACTTGTATGCTTCAGAGATGCATAAGCCATAAAGACAGTCTTACAAACACAAAATGAGTAAACTTAGGAACAATGTTTTAATTTCAAAATACATACGACAATACTGTATTCATTAATCAATACTCTCTTTAGAGATTTAAACAATTTAATGATACACCATACCATTCAATGTTTGAAAATGCAATTTCAGTCAACAAAATTGTCTTTGGATACTTTTTTTTTTTTTACTGATTTCTTACGCATTTGTAATTTGTCTAGATAAAGCTGTCAGATGATAGATTTAATCCTGGATTTATTAAAAAAAATCCAGCACTAAATGTAATGAACCACCACATTCTCGTAAAGTCCTGGTGGCTCCAGTCTAATGGATCATATCAGACACAGGAGTTTTGTTGAACCAACCAGAGCCAGAACCTGACTTCCCTCGCAGAAATGCAGAGAGCAAGTGACAATTCGTTACCACTGGGAAAGCATCCAGAAATTCAGCGAAGCTTTACAGACAATTGGAGGGCTCACAGAAAACAAAGCCTTAAATCTGCCAAATAACTTTGTGAACAATGCATACAGAAAAAGAGATTTACTCAAACTAACAATGGTACCTCAGCTTACAAATTTAATCCATTCCCAGAGACGGCTTGTAAGCCGAATATGCGTAAACTGAAGTGAATTTCCAAATAAGAAATAACAGAAATTGAATCAATCCATTCCAGACTCCCCAAAAAATTAACTTCAAAGTAAATTTTATACCTAATTCACCCAAATCTTCAGTACTAAAGTATGTACAAGTTATTACTTACCTTTACTGATGACTCTTGTTGGCGTATGGAAGATGATGAGGAGGGGAGGGGGGGATGAGGAGGGGAGGGGGGGGGGGGAGGGGGAGGGGGAGGGGGAGGGGGGGAGGAGGAGAGGTGTTAGTGTTTGGAAGGGAAGTCCCCTTCCATTATAACATCAGGCAGTGATGACTTCTCTGGGGTACACACTCTTGACACGTTTTGCCTGCAGTCCACTAGGACCTACTTGTGGCTCACTTCTTGATTTTCTCACTAAAAACGATCCATAGAGGATTGTTTTCCCTTCACTGTAACACTTGTCTGTAGTGAGGCATCACATTGTCATTAAAAAGGGTTAATGCAACGACCTACTACAGCTTGCTCTGGATGAGTCGTTCCAACAAAAGAATGATCTCTTGTTTTTCCTTTATGTTCATTCTCACATGTGTTTTCTTGGCTTGAACCTTACCACTGGCTTTCTTGGGACCCATGTCGAGATATATAACAACAACTTTAATGTTCAAATACCCAAAAATCTGAAAAACTATAATTCTTTACAAAGAATTCAGGCACGATCGTCACTAGGCGGGAGGTACTGCTAAACTGAGGCGAGATTGCCGTGCCACCACGCACTAGGTCGGCCATACTTGTATCAACAAACTTGTTCCCGAGGCAAAGCTCGTAACTCAATTAGAATTTTCTGAAGAAATTGGGCTTGTAACCCGAAAAGCTCGTAAATAGGGGCATTCGTAAGCCGAGGTGTCACTGTATCCTGAAACTCATTAGCACCAATTGGCACCATCAGGTGGTCTGGCTGCTACTCCTAGCCGGCTTCCCTGATCAGCTCTAAGGCTGATGAACAACCCACCAGCAAACCTGGAGGAAAAGATAAAGGCAAGCATCTTGGACAAGGCCACCAAGGCAGCATTCACAAGCCCCAAGATCTCTACAATCAGGGTGAAACCAAATGATGCCACATCCTCACTGAGTTGCTTAGAGAGCTTCTCCATGAGAACCCACAAGCACAAGACTACTGCCAAATATGTACGAACTCTGTGGTGACCATATTAAGAGCTCCTGACAGACGCACATACAGCTGCCACTTGTTCATGTCCCTGGGAAGTGCCAGAGCAAACAGGCAGTCCTCGAGTGGAGCAAAAGAAGTACTGCTCAAAAACACCTTAAAGATGGAACTCTCCTCCCGCTAATCAAGCGAGTCCAAAAGAACCCTAGCCAAGCTCTCTCCAAAAGAAAAGGTTGTCAGCCAGCCAGGTTGAACCTCACTCTGCAGCCAATAAGCTAAGACAGACTCATACTCAAAAGAACCTGGGTCCATCAACAAAAAAGTTTGAATTTCTCAGATACCAAAACAAGCTTGCACAAACTACCGAAGATGAAACATCGATGGAACCTCCAGAAATATGGCGACTCTGAGGCACCAAATGGGACCCAGAATCTGAATCCGAAGGTAGCAATCATGCAATTAAATTCATATATAGAAGGGGGAGAAAAAATTCTCCACTGAATCAAAAGACACTCTGCAGAGTGAACCAAGGACACTCATGGGACCCTTCTCAGGCTCCCTACTCCTACCCAGCCCTAGAAGCCTGCCATAAATGCTCCAGGGCTGAGCCACAGACCTCGCCCACCATCTGTGACAGAAAGGTGTTCTCCCAAGGACAAGATCCAGAATGGGGGTGCAGTTGTGAAGGTGAATGCTCCAAAACCCTGGCAGGCTTGACAAAGAGGATGGAGCTGAGAAGGCTGAGTTATACCCTGAGCTAAACCCTAACCCAACTCTGAAACCCTTGGATGCTTCAGGGAAAAGAACAGAAGCAGAGCGAACCACACCCACAGGGAAAGGAAGAAGTGGTACAGACTTAGTCCAGGCAGAGGTTGAACACTTCCAATTCTGGGTTCCTAAACACCAAAGGGGCCAATTCTGAGGCATCTAAATGATCACAATGTTGTAAATGCCTAAGTTGAGCAAATCTAACTCACAAAGTGCCAGCTGTCTGAAAAGCTTCCAAACTCGAAGTTGAATCAGTCAAGGCAGAAAACCAGTGAGAGCAAACCTCGTGAGACTCAGGATAGTAGGTGTCACTGACCCAGCAGACAGTATGGTGGAGACAAAAAACATGATCATCTTCACGTAGCAAAGATAATGAGCGCCCTTCACGATTGCACTCAGAGAGTGTGGGGTCAACAAATTGATTAACAATAGACCTGCCAAAGACCCGTGAGAGGATTACCAAGGCCCGAAGTCTGCTAACCAAGAAAAACACCCAGGCACCAGGGGCCACTGACTGGAAGAACAGACACAAAATACAGCCAAAACAACCAGGATATAAATGGAGACCACAGTGCACCATATGAACAAGCATGTGAACTCAGTGCACCCTAGTACAGCCAACATGATGCCCCCAGCTAAGAGGCCAAACAGAGGAGTCAAAAGACCCTTGAACAGCCCAAGGCAATGCTCTCCACAGGTTTCTTGGGTGAACTCCTGACACAGCAGAGAACGTAACTGTCAGTGAAAGAGCAGCACTAGTGAGCACACAAGGAAGGAATCCCTGAGCACATGTAGCTCAAAGTGCAACAAAATAAACAAGTAATTATCAAAAGAAGACACCAAGCCGGGAAGACTGTGTAGCACCATCAGTGATGCAGGATATTCAAAAGGTCTAAATATCATTGAGGATGCCAATATGAAAACAAAAGCACAAAGCTGGAGAAAACACACACGTGAAGCTGAATACTAAAATAAAGGAACAACACACAAAGCAAATGGTCCCTGCAAGAGGAAGACCAGCACTTACCTTGAAGCAGAGGGGCTTGCCACATATGATGGACCTGGAGCACTACAGGTAGAACTTTCCAGCAGAATATTATTGACAAAACTGACAAGGGGACCCAGACAGCCAGGAACCAGGCCGCCTGATGGTGGGGGATCAGTACTAACAAGTTTCGAGCTAGTCAGAGTGAACCACATGTTCTATGTGAATCGTTTGCAAAGATGTTTGGTGGTTTTGAGGCTTCATTTTCTTAGATCCCTTCAGCTGTCTGTACAGCTTGGCAGACTTTCTGGATGCTTTCCCAGTGGGATGATGAATTATCACTTGCTCTCTGCACCTCTGTGAGGGGGGAAGAATGGAGCAATCTCAACAAGATACAGTACTTCAGGGAGTTGATAGGGGCTCCCTCTAGAAAAATCAAGGATTGCATGTAATGAAACATCCTTTTGGTGGTTCACTTAGTAGCTCCTCGATCTATAGCACTGGGAGTTGCCAAGTCTTAAGGAATTGCACCAGGCCTCTGAAACCCACCTTAGCCTACCACGAGCCACTACCAGAATCTGGCTCTGTTTAAGAGATAAGGGGAGAGGAGAGTTTAGATATCAGAGATGAACCCAAAAGTGAGAAATAACACCAAAATGCATAAGTGCATTATAACAAGCAACTGCTAGAAACTGAATTAATAACAGAGAAAAACAAGAGCTAACAGGTGTTGCTGCAGGGTAAACACCTCAGATGTAATGTGTCACTGTAATAACGGGTATATAATGTCTAGCTTTTATTTGTATTTATTAAATACAGGTATTTTGTTTTATTATTTAAGTGTCAGTTTCTTTTATTTTTGTTAATGTTAATTTTTATGTTTCAGTTGCCAATGTTTGCAAATATGTTGAGTATGAGTGAATGTTTTTCATATTTTGTAAAATAGGTTTCCTGCACTTCTGTGAACATGTCACTTTCTGCCCTGTGCCACCCAGAGGGAAGCTGGTCTCAGGTAACAGAGGTGGTGTCTTGGGTTGAACTCATGAGGCACCCACCTGCATAGAGAGGTTTTTCTCTGTAATCAGGATGATACTGTAAACTAATAATCGTAAATGACTACAGTCCACCAGCAAAGAACACATGGACAAAAGAAGGGCTTTGACAAAAGAGAGGGCCTCATAATGGTCATGAGATATTAAAGTAAGAATTCATGAGAAAGCTCATGAAGATGCATCCACAAACCTTCTATCTGGCTCTGTATTA